CTAATCCTGTGGTTGACTGTCTCCGCATTAGAATTTTTAAAATTTTTGTTTTAATTTTTCATTTTTTAAATAAAGTAAAGGCTGACAATGTTGCCAGAAGTTTATTGCCTTTATTTCATTTATTTAGTTTTTTAAATAACAAAATAAAGAATTATTGTATTGATGGAAAAATTATCCATTCAATGATATTTTGGCTGAGACAACTCATCGTCAGTTTCCTTTGATTTCATGTATTTTTGACTTTTTTAATATTTTTTCTAACAAAACTTTTGTATTTTTTGTATAAATAAATTTTCATAAAAAATTTAAAATTTAAAAAAATTTTAATGTGGAGACAGTCTAGGGACTAAATTTTTTCCATGTAGAGACATAGTATACTAATACCTTCGTTAACTTTATAATTAATTGTAATTGTCCTTAATTTTTGTGTTATTGATCTCCACCATTTCCAATGTTTTTAGTTTTGCTTGTCATATATCTTCTTTATAATTCTTGTCTGGTCCCAACACGAAGACAACTTACTAGCAAACTGGGGTAATGCGATATTATACTTGTTTTATTGATGTTGAACTGATGCTTTTTTATTCTTCATGTAAAGAATTGTTTATTTGATTGAATCATATGATTGACTTATTCAATGTTTTCAACAGTTTTTTTGATGCTGAGAGGCATCTCATCTTTTGTTTTTGGTCCTAAACCGATTCACATCCTTTGCAAAAATGCTCAAATCGTTGTAAACTGTCTTTAAAGTCACTGCAGCATTTTCACAAAGTAACATCATCACATTGTGAGTATCTTTGGCACTTTTCTGCAGTTTAAAACACACTTCAAAAACCTGCCTTCATAAACCATCAGCTAAACACTGAGTGATTGAGACAAGCAAATTCAAAACTTACTAGATATGCAAAGATGATAGAAACAATGCAAATACAGCATAGAACTTCTGCCATTTTCTGATAAGTGATGAACTATGCCAAAATTCACTGTATTTTTTGACTGCCCCTGTGTATATAAGAATTTTTAATTGTACACACAAATACATTTTAAAACACAATGGTAAAAATTAAGTAAATGAAAAAAACCAGATCAAAACTATCTTAAACGCTTATATTATAAATTTATTTAATAAAAAGTTGTATATTTTAAAAACTTTTAGCTTTAAAAGTTAAAAGCTTTTAAAAACTGGAAAGAAATTCATACTTGCAAATATCTGTTTAGTGACTAAAAACCTTGAATTAAAAAAATACTGTACTACACACTGCTGGCAACAATATTACCAAAGTAGCTTGAGAAGAACTGAACTGACAACATGGACAATCAATTTTTTAAGCTTAAAAAAAAAACTTGAAAAATGTTTTTAGTAGTACAGACTGCTTCTACCATAATTTTGAATTAATAATCCAAATGAAAAACACTGCATTAATGCACAAAGAGCATTTTGAACACAATTCAGCAAGCTTCATATGATAACAATGATGATTCAAACACATTGAATAACTTTTTAATAAAAAAATATATTTAAAAATTTAGTTGTAAAATAAAGTGATGAAAATTTATGTTTTCATTTCTTCCTCAGTTTTTCAATTAGAACTTAATTATGGATCATAAATCCGTTATTAAGTTCTAATTGAAGGATTCAGATGTAAAAAATGTTAAGTTCCATAATGAAAGTTCGGAGAAAACGAAAAAATTAAATGTCTTGAGAAGTTTTCTTTAATCAGAATAAAGTGCAGGTTAAAGTTAAAAAGTGATAGAATATTTAAATTAAAATACACTGTTGCTCAGTTGTCAGTACACATTATAATGTACAGTACTAATGGAAATGGTATCATCTTTTACATCTGAATCCTTCAATTATATTTTAAGTAGAAAAAAAATTTCCTTTTCAAATGGACTGTCATTATTCTTATTAAATATACTCCTTGACTAGTGCATATTCAATTATATGGTAATTTCCTGGAATACATTAACCACAGTAAGCAGGATCTTCCTGTAATTAATTTCATTTGATTATTTCTAATTTGTTCTAAGTAAAAGTTTCATTCTTTTAAAATTAATTTCTGTAGTTAATACTATGCATTAACACAAACTGAAATAATTAGCAGATCTATTTCATAAAGTTTTAAGAGAAATTGTTTCATCAATTTATCTTAAAAAATGTAAATTATTATAAATTCTAAAATAATGACAAATAAACATGTATTACAATAATTATAAATAGTTTTTTTTTAATTTAAAACTTTTCAATTATTATAGAGTAAGAATATGAAATTATAGATAAGAAACATAACCAAATGATTGCCTTAAATAATCGGGCTGTAACTCCGCTAACTTTAATAAATAACACTAAGTAATTTGCTACTAGAGGTAGACATCAGGCACTATCTCTTAAGTAAATTAATAATTATAATTTTAATAATTTAATAAATAATTTAAAATTATCTGGAAGAGAACTGACCCAGGGCAGGACTTGAACCCACAACCTCAGCTTGCTAGTTGCACCACCTGGATCCTGAGCTAGCCTTCTCTTCCAGATGTATTTAAATTTAGATATAACCTTATGCAGTTAATCTGAGGCCATGGGCATAGGAATCATCCTCAGCTAGAAGTTAATTTTATTTTAATGGCATAAAATATCCTATATGGCATAAAGTTTAACGTAAAAACTAGCATAGATTAATTTTAAAACAAAAAAGTTTTTAAAATGCTGTGTGTTAAATATTTAGACTACAGTTTTTACCAATATTATAGAAATAGTGCTTTCTGTTTGGAAAGAAAAATACACGATACAGGCATATTCGTGAATCCCAGCATCTTAGTGTCGCTTGTGATCACACATATTACTTTTAAACATCAACAACCATAGCCTGTTATATAATAAACACGCCAAACAATATTCCAAATTCTTGGGCTATGTAAAGGCTATAATTAAATATTAGAAATTAATTTGACTAGAAGTAGGCAATTATGCTGCCATCTTGTATTAAATTTAATGACCAATTCCAAATTAAATTTTAGAAATGTCTGAATTAAAAATTAACTATTTATAATTATTAAATTTAATACGAGATGGAAGCATAACTGCCTACATCTAGTCAAATTAATTAATTTCTATTATTTAATTATAGCCTTTACATAGTCCAAGAATTTGGCATATCGTTTGGAGTGTTTATCAAACATATTATTTGTAATTTATTTTGTTTTCTGCAAATTGAATTCTCATTCCAGATTGGTTCATTCCATACTAGAAGAAAAGATGATGATGATTCACAGTCCTTAAAATACACATTGTACAATTTTCTTTGAACACATGTTATACATAAAATATTTAAGTTTTTTTCAGCATGGAATGCATCATCATATTTTATATTTATTTCTATGGGAAAAATTGTTTTGCTTAACAAGTACGATTCTGGGACAAATTATGCTCGTTAAGCAAGGTTCCACTGTATATAATCACAAAAAACATATAAGTTTGACTGTAATTACTTCAAAATCACTTTAAAATGTTGTATTCTTTGTACTAAAAGGTCTTAGGCTACATACTTTTGAGAAAGATATTTTTAAATTAAAAACTTGAAATTTGTCACTTCTTTTAGCAGGTTAGTTTTCATTAAAGTATTTTAAATGCTAAAAAGGAAAATAAAGTGTTACANGAAAGACCCCGATGATTGGTTACTTTATACTAAGAAAAACACCTAATGATTAGATACTCGTGATAAGAAAGATCATAAAGTACATAATCATTAGATACTTCGTGCTAAGGAAGACCCTAATGATTAGGTACTTTATGCTAAGGAAGATTGTAAAATTTACATATGATTAATTAATGTTTCGGTTAATTATTTAAAGGTTTCAAAATCTAAATATTGACGATATCGTTTATCGAAAAACGAGAAGTATTATTTATTTAAAATGTTTATTTCGTATTTACGATGTGTCGTGTGAAGGTTTTTTCGTAAGATATCGGTGAAGTGATAAAGACAGAACCAGCGACTGCTGTGTAAATAGGCAATAGATTCAAGACCCGAACAGTGAACCAACACTTTGAATACCCAAAGAAGAATATAAAAAAAAAAAGGCAGAAAAAAAAGGAAATGCCCAAAGTCGGCAACTGACTATAGGCCTGTTTCAACAGCCATTTTGAATCGGGTATCGTTAGTTTCCGGATGTCTTTCGTTAGTGACAGCGAGGTGGCCGACCTCCAAAAGTACAAAGAGAGGATGATCGGGGACAGATATTCACACAATAATGAACAGTTTACATAGAAGATAAGACTGACAGGTATACAGTCCTGTAAAGGTGGTTTTGAATACAACTTTTGATACGTGTTGTGAGCCACCTCAGTCGGAGGTCACATTGTTAGCGAGGAAGCGGAGTCTGCTTACAAGAGATGAATTTTCCCAAACTTCTAATTAACGAACTATTTGTCGTTCCTTTTTTTGAAACTGTCTCCTTTTCTATTCTTGACTTTTTTTACCATTTTTATGCTCTTTTTCTTCTTGTATACAACGTATCCTGTTACGGGTTTTTTTCTATCTTCCACTTTAAATTTTTTGGTTTTCGTCTCCAAGAAGCTTCCAAAATTCTATTTTTTTGAAGAATATTTTAAAAAATTCCTTTATAAAATAAAAATAGAACACTTTTGTACGTTTCACATAATCCATTTTTTTTAGAATTTTTCGCTTTAAATTTTGTATTTTTAGTAGCATTTTTTTTTGGATTCATTCTTAAAAAACTCTTGTTGCTGCTCATTAATTTTGTTTAATTAGGTTTTTAGATTAATTAAACATACTTTCTTCTTAATATTAATTATTATTCTATACGTTTTGTAGCTTAAAAAAAATTTAAGCTGTCATACTTCTTGAAAATTCGACTTTTTTTTGACATTTCTAACAGATGAAAATGCCCAACAAAATGGAGTTTTTAGAGTGAAATTGTCGAGGTTAACGTATTAAATCTAAATGCCGTATAATGATATATTGAGAGTTTTTACTCACCTGTAAAATATTGAGAACGACAAGGTACTAAAGAGTGTAACGTCGTTTCTAAAAATGGCCGAGGGACTGGTTTAGCAACGACTGCTGCCGAATACGTGAAAGCGGGTAATGAATGTGATAAACTGGAACCTGACAACAAAAATCTATAATTAATAAGGTTATAATATGAAAGCATCATTAAAACAACTATGTAGTATAAAACTATTAAGAGATCATACCATTATAATATATGGCATTAGCTGTATAAACAAGCAAATATTTAGGGTTACACCTTAAAACCCTTCCCTTTTTTTAATTCTTATTGTTTACTTTCTACTTAATAAGTTGTATCTTTCTAAGAAACCCATTTAGAATGCTTTAATGGGACTTTGTTTTCTAATATTTGCCACCTTCTGGTATAAGTATGGAATAAAATCGATTTAGATGGATTGGATGAGTATTATTTTCTAAGATTTGGCATTTAGTGAGTGTCTTTTTGTAAAATTTTGTACTTTCTGACATTCTAAATACTTAATAAAGTGGTTCTAAATGGTTTTGATGCCTGTTATTTTGATACTTTTTGAAACTTTAAAAAATTTTAGTGAGTGTTCTTTTTGCGAAATTTGCTACCTTCTGGCGTTCTAAACAGAAGCTATAATGGATTTACATGGTTTTGTACGTAAAATTTAGTACCTTTTGCACTTTAAGTATTACATAAAATGAATTTAAAAGCTTTTATCCAGTGTTTTATTCTAAAATTTGTCATCTAGTATCATACTGTAAGTATAATAAAATAAATATCGATGAATTATACACGTATTCTTTACCAAAATAAACCCATTTTTCTACTCCTAAATATTTGATTTCTTATAATTTTGGCATATTTACTAAAAAACGAAATTTATCCTTTTATACTTCTCTAAAATTCAGCACCATTTGGCCTTTAAACCCACAAATAATAGCGATTTTGCGAACATTTATTTCAAAATTGATGACAAATTTCGACATTTTGTACCCAAAACAAAAACTGGCGGTCGAATTAACACAGAAAGAAGTGTAGATAATTACTGACGTGAGCGAAAGAAAATTAATTGAAAGAAGTAAATTAACAAAGTACCAGTTGATATATTATATTTATTTAAAAAAAAAAAAAATGATGAGGAGAAAAAAGTCATCTCATGATATTTTGTATATCGGATTGAATCGGTTTTGATTTATTTATACATGGATTCACGTTTAACCAAAATCGATGAAGTGTTTTCTTGTTTTCAATTGATTCGTAAAAACTTTTAGATATTGACGTTTTTGCACTCAAAATAGCTCATGATAAAAAAGCATTAGCCTCACCTAGATGATAGTGAATAAAACATTTTCAATATTTCTCAAGCTACGAATTCAATAAAAAAATAAAAATCAAAAAATTCAGAGAAAGTAATAGTTCCGATCTACAAATGTCACTTTTAAAATCCCTTTTTTCCCCCGAAAAAATCTNTATATATATAGGCCTATATATATATATATTGTTAGTTTAGTTATAAAAATTTGAGTAGAAAAAGTATATATATATATATATATATATTTTTTTTTCGAATAAGCGCTATAAAAGAGAGTGAATTGTGTTTTAAGCACTCGTTAAAGCGATTTTAGTGTTTAATAGATTTTAAGTTTAATATTTCAGTAGAAAAAGTGAAGTTAGTGCTTATATTTAAGAGCTAACATTGCTTTAAATAGTGTTAATACACTACTTAAGTTAACTTAAACACTACTTAAAGCAGTTTTAGTGTTTAAAATATAAGCATATTAAAGCTTAAGTTTTAATATTTAAATAGAAAAATGTTTATATTTTAAGCACTAAAACTGATTTTTAATTAGAGTTTTGTCATTTAAGTACACGCTAAAGTGCTTACATTTTAAGCACTAATTTTATTTTTTCTATTCAAATTTTAAAAGTTTGAATAGAAAAATGAAATAAATTTAATGCTTATATTTGAAATAACTTTAAAAAAGCATTAATTTTAGTTTTATTTTTAAAATTTGAATATGAAAGTATATTTTGAAAATGACTTTCTTCTTAAAATTTATGATGGATCATGAGCACTGCAACACAAAGAGCATTCACTCACTGTAGAACTTCTAGGCGCTGTACTTTGCTTTAATTATTGTACAGCTCTTAAATAATAATTATAAGAGCAGTTTAAGTGTTATAAAATGTTGTAAATAACGTCTTTGATTGCAATAATTAAATGCAAGATGGTCGCAGTTAATGTAAATCAGGTTTAAAACTGCATTAGAGAGCGTAAATCGTGACACTTTCGAAGACTTTTTAACGTTTTTTTGAATTAAATTTTATATCGAAATTTTCAATTCGTTAAAATTTAACGTCCTAGTTTATATATTTAACATTTTTACATAGAAAAAGCGTATAAGTAATCCAATAAAACGAATTTAAAAAATCCAATTCAATACATCAAACTGTGTTTTTGGATTCGAAAGAACGTACAAAAACTAGTCCAAAAAATGTAGAAAAATTAAATTTTAAAAATTTTTATCACGTTAAACTTCTATATATTTTGTAACTCGTGTCAATCCTAGAGATTTTTTAGATCATCTCTAAAAACAAATAAGAAAAAGAAAAAGGCAAACGATCGGTCGTAACTGGAGTTTATCGTATCCGAATGTTTTCGAGACGGATTTGTAAGAAAAATATAGAATAAAATCGCAAATAGAATTCATATTTTCGCGAGGAAAACATTTTACCAAAGTCTCGACCGAGTTTTTCTCATAAAAATACACAGAAAAAGCCACCCCTGCTTGGAAATAACGACAATATGATAGACAGAGACTTTTTTTTCTTCCTCTGACCTTCTATCAATAAGAAAGAATAGTAAAGTGGATATTTGGAATAACACGTTGTGAATTTACATAGGGCAATCTGTTTTATTGTAAAAACAGCTGAAGCAGACGTCCAGAATAGAAATCAAGAATAAGGAATAACCCTTACAGCAATAACACTCAACCACTCCATTATCTACATAAATATCAACCCCTTACAAATTATTTTTATTGGGAGAAATATCTTTAATAAATTCAATTATTTGGGTACATTCTTTTGTTCATTTTCGAGTCAGAAATTTGCATAAATTATTTAGATTTAAACACTTAAGCTAATTATTATATTTATCGATGGTGCTTTTATTTGTAATGAAAGTCCTGATTTTGGATGTAGATCTGTAAGTGTTTATGGAGTTATTTTGTGTAAAACTATCGAAGAAATCTAGAATTATCTAATAAATTTACTTATATAACTCTAGAATTGCCTTCTATAATTTATCATTAGCAAAGTCTAGAACAATCAACCATGTCTATTCATCCTCAGTAAAGTGTAAAACTATTAAACTGATTCATTCATCCTCATTAAAATCTAAGATTCTGATATAATTCTAATCCTCAGCAAAATCTAGAACTGTAAAAACATTCTTTTTTCTTCAGCCAAGTGTAGAATTCTCACATAAATCAACAAACTCTGGAATCTAATATGAATTTATTCGTTTCTAGCAAAATTTTTTAAAGTTTTTGGTTTATTTTTAAAGAGTTATTAGCAAAATAATCAAAATTTAATTAAAAATATGCTTAAAATTTATAAAAACCTTAGTTTCTTCAAATTTAGGGATTTTTCAGATTTATTTCTAAATTTAATGTAAAAGTACAAATATATAGCAGAAAATATGCTGCAAGGATGTTTTTTTAGACAAAATGTACAGTGCCATCACCTGAATTTATTCATTAAATTTAAGTGAGAATTGTTTAAATATCGAGAAGGGCTATTGTTGTTATTTTTATTCAAAAAAGTCCCAATTTAATCTCAAAATGGGCCAATAAATTTCAATAGTTACACGTATTTTTATAGGAGTTTTTTCCACGAAATTTTTAATTTAATTTTCAAAATAATTTAGAAAATTCTGTTTGCTATTTTGATTTTTAAAAAAATTCTTTATATCGAAACGTTTAATGTTCTTGGAAACACAATTAAAATTTGTGGGAAAAGAGGTTAGGGATTAGCATTAAGTATGGAGTGATCAGCATGGGGACAAAGGGAGTAAATGCGAAATTAGATCCAGAAATCCCTCACAATTCACCCCTCCCATGACCTCTGAAGCATAGTGACAATGGACGATGACAGATATGTAGGCATTGCCTACCCTGGGCGGATGTCGCGTGTCTTGTTGCCTTCCATATCTGATTTATTAAATCTCTTGTATTGATGTACTTTACACACACATTTTGCAATTAATACACCATTTTTTTTAAACCCCAACCCCCCTTTTGTTATTAATTGATTTTCTAAAAAATTCGGCCTAATTCTGGCCTGGAGAAATGGCTTCTTGCCTTATGAATTATGCGGCATTTACATAATTGCTACATTTATTACATTTGTCAAATTTGTGACGTAATGATAATTTGTCTCTAATGCCGTTACGTCACGCATACTGTCACACATAATGATTATGGCGAAATAAATGAATTTTGTTAGTTCTAAAACGAAGCTTTTACGTCGCCGGGATGGATTATTAAGGGAGTGTTACGTCACGTCACACACGATTTCCTGCGGAGAGCCAGCGTCACGTGATCGGTGATAATGATGTTACGTTATTTACATTATTATTATCGGGTTCGGTGTAGTGAAGTTAATGCTACGACATTAGCGTGGTCGAGTGGCAGTTTGACCAATCAACATGGCGTAACGTTGTAATATTTTATGGAAGGTGGGACGTACAAGCATATACGGCGTAACACACACCAACTGAAATCTGTACAGATAACGCTCTAAACTCTAGCTGTGTGTACAGTACAAGCGATGTCGAATATCTCTAAATCTTATCTCTTGTTCAAAATTTCGATTACGCTTGGCTGTAATGTTACTGTTAACGCTCCAAATTCTAGTTTTAGATGAGATGAAGATGTAAACAACTATATTATTTATATTTTGTATTAGATCAACAGATACTGCTCCAAGATCTATGCCTGTAGTTGGTGTAACGCTCCTACATTATGTTGAATATCTTTTAAAGTTTCACTGATTTAGTTTGCATTTTGGTTTTTTGTAGTCGCTCGGCATCACTTATACAGATAAGGTAACTTTTTTTTAGTTG